GTTACTAAGATATAGGGAGGTATAAGAAGATACAGAAATATGCCCTTTTTAAGCCTGTACGAGTATATGCACGGTGAGGTGGAGTAAATACTACCATGCTGAGGAGGAAACAGCCTCTGCTGAATAAGGATGCATCCTGACCCCATAGTTACGTAAGTGTTATGAGTCTATGTATTAATATTATGAATAGAAAAGTTCACTTCCTTTCTTTACTTGGTACGTTTACTTTGGGAACTTTGACAAAGTTAGCGACTGGGGCTACGGTTATCCGTGAGCAGCACGCTATGCACTTTCCTTCCACCTTTACTGGCTGAACGATCTGAGTTAATATTTGAAGATGACTAGTTCTAGCACTCCAGAACTTGATTAACGGGAGATAAGTGTGGGACTAGCATTTAAAGTGGTTTAGCCCATCTTTGATCTCCAAACTCGTCTGCGAATATATGTTTCAGGACTCACCTGCCAGCCAAAGAGCGCTCCCTCCCCACAAAGCGCGCTTATCAGGTGTGATGGATGCATAATAACCAGCTGTTAGAGGAACTATAGCACAATTCTTTCATATTGCCACTATTTGTAAGTCTTAGCAGCAAAGCTCTTGTACTCCTCTGCACTCTTTCCGTCCCACAACACTTTTCCAGCCTGCAAAGCCTGTTCAACGGTTTTCTTTGCTCGAATTCTCATTCTAGAGTCGTACTGTTGAATACTTTCAAGATTAATTCCTTCGATTGCAATTGTGAGACACAAATCAAGAGTGTCTACAATGCCAGCAGAGCCACCAAGTCCGCCCATTGGACTTATTGGATGAGCCGCATCACTAATGAGTGCTACGATTCCTTGGAATTCTGGGGCTATCTCCTCAATTTCAGGCTTGCTACACACAACTCTATAGACATCGGCAGTGTCGTAATCTGCTAGCTCGTAGAGCTTGCGGAGTGTAGGATGCCATCCTTTAGTCATGTCCATGACGTACTTCTTCGTATCATCTGGAGTTGATATACTATGGTTTGGAGTCTCGGAGTTGAATGTCCAATAGATGTAACTGTCGTAGTCGGGAATTTGGCCATCAGATTTGTTGTGTAAGCTCTTACTCCAAACCATTGGCTCAAGAATCGTGTTTCTCGTTCTGGTCAATTTATCTACTCCAGCAACTGCCCCCAACGCTTCCGTAGGGTACACTGCCTTTAGCGCCTGGTTTATTGGCGTTCGAGCCCATATCATTTGTCGTTCCATATCCAGCAACTTCCTCTGCGGCTGGCATAGGTCTCGGGTGCGGGACCATACTCCATCAGCTCCAACCAGCAAGCTTCCGACCTCGGTGGTACCATCAGCGAAGAATGCTTCTATCAATTGACCCGGCAGAACTTTATAGGAAACAAGATGTTTCCCGAATTTGATCCCGTCTTCGATACCTAGGCTGAGAATGTACCGAAATAGGCTTCGGTCTAGAGGGATACCACGCGACATCGAGGGATCATGCCGGATTGGTGCGTCTTGCAGAGGAGCAGGGTCCCGAGCATCCAGCATTCTCAAATTAGGAGCTCGAGCACCGTCCGTTCGTGTGAGCATGAGCATGTCCCACTTTTCCATCGAGAGGAGGCTGTAGATTGCATCGGCAGCCTCATTGTGGACTCGAAATCTGTGGCCTTGGGCTCTTGCATTCAATGCTTCATCTTTCTCGCAAACAATAAATGGGACCGACCACTTTCGCAGACCTTGCGCGAGAAGGAGCCCACATGGCCCGCCCCCAATGATGATTATTGGGTACGTAGAGGCCATTCAATATTGAAAGTTCCAGTTGTTTTCCACGGCTTCTCATCCGTTCCCTGCTCTCTCTAGCTTGCATGGAGATATAAATGCGAACGAGGGCTGTTGGCTAGGAGTCGTGGATAAATGAGTACTGGAGTGTCAGAGTATAGCTGACTCAGCACTACCATCACCCCTTCCAATAATACCTGTCACCTACAAGGGGAAAACTGGAGAATATTTTCATAAGCTTAGAGCAGCGGCCTTTTCTTGTTGTTGTAATCGCCGATGCCTTTAGGGTATTGTGACAATGCAACAATTGAAGGTGCAATTAATGTTAGCTCTCCGGGTTTGACAAGCGATCACTTTAATCTCTGTTCTACGACTGGCTGCCATTAATTACATTGGTATAGATGTGACATTATCGTCGTTACTGTAGGTTAAAAATTCAGATAGCTCACTTATTGCTTCTTTTTATTCTATCTGTCAGACATACTCTCTCTCAGACAGTCCGCTGCCCCATTTTAGTCATGCCTCCGTCTCATCTTGACAACCTGCTCCCCGACAAACAAACTGATGTTTCCCCGGAACACTTGGCTAGATGCTCTAAAGCCGCAGTGGTGGATTCTTTTGATGCCGCCAGTGTCACTGCTGAAACTATTATCGGGTCTTCAATCCGTAATGGAGGTTGCATTGTCCGTGACATTGCCTCCAAGGCAGACAGTGCAGCTATTGACGGCGATGTTCGTCCTTATATTGCGAAAGACCACTAAATCATACCAGAATGTATGCACAAACCTTCTCTAGTTTACACGCGAATCCGTTGGGACGGAACTTGGAGACATCAGTCTCTCTTCCGCAAGTCAATAATCCCGTTGTCCTTTCAATCGAACCTGGAGCCAAGCGTAAAGAGCTACACAGAGATGACATGATTATCACAATGTGCTGTCACCGTTGAATTCACACGTTGAATATATTATCGGCCGCGGCTGTGGCATCGGACTTTTTGTTGCTGGGAAGAAGACCGCAAAGTAAACGGTGCCACTCGTTCATTCATCTGAGCCATTTATGGCCGAAGATGCAGCCACCCAGTGCAGAACTCTACTGTTATGCGGAGCTGGATCCAGATGATGGCTTCATAATGCTTGCCTCTGCCAATCATGATGGCAGTGCCAATACGACGACGGATCAAGAGCAACACGTTTTCAGCTACTTCATGATTAAGGGTATCCTACGGCAAGAAGAAAATCAATGCTTAGCTGATTCAATTGAAAGCATCAAGCAGCATGACGCACGACTTCAAATGATTATTGGTTATGCGGTGTCAATTCCATGGCTCAGATGGGTAGATGTTGATGACCCGAGAGACCTTTTATTAGACGAAGGTTAAGAGAGGGAAAGAATTGACTTCTGCTCACTATTTTATAGTAAAGAATTGATAAAGCATCTTGATGCTATCTTCTTCTTATTGAACTTCTTATTGAATGGCTCTCATTTTTGACACTTTTCACTAATTGGCCTGGTGATCCTCAAAGCATAGTCACAGTGAAGATAGCTAATGGAGAATTTACTTTACAACGAAATTGCTTAACGTTGTGCATTGGAGTCTATAGTTGTATCTGGTCTTTTGTAAATAAAGCCCGATGCTAAGATAAAAAACTAGTCAAAGCAGCAAAAAAGCCAAAACTTATATAAAATTAAATTATGAATTCAAATGTATGACATCTATATAGGCTTCAATGCTATTAAACTACTACAGTGTATATCTACCTCATTAAAATCAGCCTTCTGAAGTGTGGAGATCAGTTCTACGCTAGTACGTACCCAAAACCGTAATATCCCACCTCTTCGTTTCAGGGCCGTAGAAAAAGTACAATTCCTATGAAAAACTGCCGTTCGCATATAACCGCATCTACTGAAAAGTTAGACAAAATTAAAGGGCTATCCAATCTTGTGGGAAACATAAAATATACCTCAGGTTCTCTACTTAAATGGCACTATCCCGGTCTAAAGAACAGAACCGCCCCCGAGGGATTCGGCCACATGGACCGCGGTTCCCACCAAGGCTCCTACAACTCCGTTTCCTCCATTCAGTTCCGGCTTAACCTTCAACAAGTCTTCTCCATCTGTGGATATGATAGCAGGTCGAGCATTTGCACCAATGAAGGTGAGAGCGAGGGCGATGATGACAGCCTTGAATTGCATTTTGATGACGGTGAGAAAGAAAAAGTTAAGGAGTGGCTAATAAGGAGTGAATGGATGGACAGTTTTTTAAGTCAAAATTAAGGAATGAATGAGCTGATGATCTAGTAATGAGAAGATCTACCATGGGATAGGGGAAGCTTCTTATAGACGAGATTTCGCAACTCAAAGGTAACACTTCTGTCTTAGCATTGGTGTCTGCGGAGCCTTCATCTACTTTGTTTCTGCAGCACGTCAACGTAACGTTTGATGTAACCTTAAAATTGGAACTGAAACCCTCAAGCTCTTTGACGTTTTCTCCACAATTCTATATCCACACTGTGCAGCCACATGCCGAAAAAGCAAAACCGTGCATCGAGTCCGGACTTGACAGGTACAATGGACAAATGAAACTACACTTCGATGTTAATGTAAGTTTAGAACTGTGCATATTGGTCGATAAAGGCCCTTTTTCAGCTGCTGGTGTGCTCAAATATTCACATTGATCCCTTGTCCACCTGCTCAGCATCTGTTAACGAAATGTTATATTATCTCGTCCAGTTGCATCGCATCACTCCAGCTGCTGTTATTTCGCTTCTCAGCTTGCTGTAATTTAATATTGTATAACCTGAGTGGGACTAAGTAAGGAAATTCTGTATAATCCGTACACGTATTTTGCAAATCGTTCTTCTAATTACTCGAGAGTCCGTATCGCCAACGCCCGACGGCGGTTGGCTCCTTTTAGCATGCTTACAGGCCTAAGCCCTGTAATCGAAGCCCTGTAGGGCCTGAGTCTGTAGAGCCTGTCAGTCACTATAGTCACTAATAATAAAAGGCTATTAACTATTATAGACTTGAATCATTGACTTTCTACTGTATCACAATATTAAATTTAGATGGGTTTTAAGGCTTAGTAAGAGTTATCTACCAGAATAGGTTAACCATTATCTGATAACCGGAGATTATTATGCCTATAGGTAAACCACAGGTGTGTTTAGCTCGGGCCAAAAAATAGAGAATCTGTCTTAATTTAATTCTTATAAAACAGATAAAAAAATTATTCATTTGTCAAGGACGGGCCGCCCCCGGGATCGAACCGGGGACCTCTTACAATTGAGGACTCCCAAAGCAAGAATTCTACCACTGAACTAAGCGGCCTGTGCTTTTTGTTGGGGCACTTAATATACATTACTATATAGACGATTAATCGAATTTTTTAATAGCTGCTATATCTATCATCTCACCTTTGCGCCTCAAACCGCTGTGAGCTCTGACTTCATTAATATATTTCTCGTGCAATTTCAAGATGTGTGGTGGGCAACTATTAATCTCATCAATAGCCGGTTATTCAAGGCTATATCTCCCGGCATCCGGGTATGCACTCCTTCGGGTTGCGGATCGGGTTTAAGAAAGAGGCATCGGGGACTACAAACTACCGATATGTGCAAGTGGCTATTGGCCAAAGAGGTATTACTCAGTACATGTAATGCACGCCCTTTCTTCAAGTTGATCATCAACGAGAAAGAGACTATAGAAACCCCTCAATAAAGTACAGATCCCACTAGAGTCTATGTATGAGTCATATGACAAGAAACGGGGTTTACGGGCAAAATAATTCTTTATGGAATTGCTATTCGGAGTTTAATATTTGTATCATTCCCATTTTCACTTTTTTGCAACTTATTGCAAAATATCATTTTCAATATCATCTAAGAACGCCGAACAACCTCTTGATATTCAATCTTCCGGGAAAACACTTCTCAGATGGATTTTAACAGTAAGAACAGTGAGCTATGGGATGCATTACTTTCATCCATCCCGTCAGCTTCTCAACACATCACCTCGACTTTGGTGAATGTGAATCGCGACCTAAGACAGCAACCCATTCTTGCCGTAGCAGATCAAGAAACAGCATCATCATTCAGACAAATAGCTCGACCACTCGAGCAGGCTCGCCAACTCTCCGAAGTTCTCTCAGATGCAGAAAAGATCTTCTCGTATCGCATGAGAATGAACCACCCTGCCAGTTTTGCCTTCATCCCCGCTCCTGTCTCGCCATTATCATTCCTTGGTGATATGTTGACGTCGGCCTTTAACCCCCATGCTGGGTCCTGGCTGCAAAGCTCGGGACCCAGCGCTGTAGAGAGCGGATTGATACGTTTCTTAGCTGAAAGGCTTGGCTTGCCAGGTACTGCAGGGGGGCTGTTCGTTTCTAGTGGGTCCATGGCAAATCTAACGGCGTTGGTGGTAGCGAGAGATCAGAAGTTGGGACAGTCGATACAAGACAGAGCTAAAGGCGTGATCTATGTTTCCGATCAGACCCATTCGTCAATTGCCAAGGGACTCCGGATTATAGGATTTATGGATAACCAGATTCGGAAAATTAAATCTAACGGCCGATTCCAGATGAATATCGATGCATTGAGAGAGGCTATATCTCTGGACAAAAGCCAGGGCCTGATTCCATTCCTGATCGTAGCAAGCTGCGGCACGACAAATACTGGGAGCATAGATCCTCTACATGAGATTGTAGCAATAGCCAGGAACCACAGTCCTGGCTTATGGGTACACGTAGACGGCGCCTATGGAGCTTCAACCGCAATGTCAAAGAGCCATAGACAGTTACTGGATGGGATAGGGGAGGTGGACAGTGTATCTTGGGATGCTCATAAGTGGCTATTCCAGACCTACGGCTGCGGAATGGTATTTGTCAGGGAGAGACGGTGCCTCACCCAGAGCTTCGCAACAGGAGCCGAGTACACTCGTGATGCTGCCGATTCAGAAGATCTAGACTGCCCAAATTTCTGGAATTTCGGACCCGAACTTACACGACCAGCTAGAGCTATGAAGCTATGGTTCACATTGCAAGTACTGGGGTTGGATACAATGGGAGAAATGATTGATCATGGTTTCAGCCTCGCAGATGTGGCTGATGCTGAGCTGAGGAAGCTGTCAGATTGGGAGATCATCTCGGGATCTCAGATGGCCATCGTGAACTTTCGATACGTACCGAAAGGCTGGGATGAGGAACAACTGGATGCATTGAATAGTGCCATATCGAAATCATTAATCCAGCAGGATGTGGCTACCGCACTTACCACAAAGCTGTTAGGGAAAACCGTGATTAGGATATGTTCGCTCAATCCTAATCTAACAGAGGATGACATGCGCGATATCATCTCAAAACTAGATGCAACGGCAAAGACTTTAGCCGCTTCAACATAGACTTTAACATCGCCGTCATGATATTTATTATCCTTAAAATTCACGCATATAGATATTCTTCAAAGATTTCTTGTGAAATACAAAGCAGCTGATATATTAGTTGTACTTAGACATGAGCGCCCATGTTTTGCTAAGCATGCTTTTGCCTCGGCTGTCTCGAACAACAAACCAGTAGAGTTATCTTCTATTTTATATACCATAGATGAGTATGGCGCGGGAGTGATGCTAGGATTACCTGCAACGAAGTAGTATATATTGTGGCTTGGGCTAACGGGAGGATTGTGGGGAAGATGTGAGTGGTCGATCTCCCGGAGGCGTGTGCTCTGGTACAAATGTGCCGAGTGTGCGAAGAGGACCCTGGATTGGTTAATCGTGACTTATATCTGCTCTATATACTTAGGGGAGATGAGTAGATTGATGACTACGGTAAAAATTGTCTGGTTCAGAGTTATGATTCAGGTGGCGTGGACACGGCAAGCCAAGAAGATATCGGTCCTAGCACCCTGACGAGCCTGACAAGCTTTTAGACAAGCCCTATCCGAGGCGTAAAACGGCACAACCACAGCATAAAAGCACTTGTTCCAAGACAGTCATCTCTATTTCAGATTTTAGAGAGTATAAGAACGTGATTGGAAGCTCTACACAGATTACGAATCTGCAATCAGCTGCTAGATTTGACACCGGGCACAATTACCCCAATCCATCAGGCAATGCGACATGTACCGCGGTAAGAAGCACGAGAGGAAAGTGGCAAAGTGGCGCTACCAGAGCCCAACCACGGCCCTGAGATAAGTTTTTTCTCTTAAAAGGCAAGAGAAAGGGCAAAGTCCAGGTCTAGTGCTGGCGGTTTAATCTCTCCCAGGCCTAGTAACGGGCTGACCGGCCCAATCAGGCACTGTGTCACGGAGATCCAGCGCTGGTAGTCTCTGGTCGCGGAGACTAGACCAAACAGGCAGGAGCTTCCAGCTTCTTTTTCCATTTCACTCTTGCATAAGAAAGTTCCACTCCCCGCAAAATGGCAAGCACGTCGGACACGCGACCAGTTTTCTCTTGACAAAAAAGACTTGTCAGAAGCCCAAGTTGGCAGCAGTTCTTCCCCCGTTGCTGCTGCTGCTGTATACATCTCCACCATGGCCTTGGACCTGGAAAAGGGCAATGGCGCGGCCGGCTACGTCGCCGACGAGAAGACTGCTGCGGATGCCAGCTCCCACGACGAGCCCGTTGTGACCTACGACAATGCGGCAGATGTGTCGCACGGCAATGGCGTCCTGTCCAAGCTGCGCAATCTCGAGGCGCGCATGGACAAGAAGCTTGGTATCGAGTCCGAGGCGATCGTTCGCAAGCGCCCCGAAGATAAGAAAAAGGTGTCGTGGCTTGAGGAGTTGACAATGGCTTTGCTCTGGGCAAGCGGGACGATGAACACGTCGTGTTTTGCAACTGGGTTTCTGGGATGGGAGTTTGGGCTGAGCTTGAAGCAATCGATTCTCATCACCATCTTTGCTTCTATTCTCGGCGGTGCTGTTACGGGCTTTTGCGCTACGTTTGGTGCGGCTACGGGCTTGCGCCAGATCAGTGTGAGTCGGTACAGTTTTGGCTGGTGGCCCAATAAGCTCATTGCGCTGCTCAACGGCATTCAGCAGATGGGTTGGGCTGCTGTCTCGTGTATTACTGGTGGTCTTGCCTTGACTGCTGTCTCAGACGGCCATGTGTCTCTGGTTCTCGGTATCATCATCTTGGCTGTCGTGGCCTTGGCTATCTCCTTTGTCGGACTGAACGCCATTCTGGTTTACGAGCGATATGCCTGGATTATTTTCTTCGTCATCTTCATGATAATCTTTGGAGAGACTGGAAAGTATGCTGATAATACGACTCCAGCCACCGCGACTGGCGCCAACCTTTCTGGCGCCGTTCTCAGTTTATTGGCGATTGTCTATGGTTCTAGTGCCTCATGGTGCACTATGGCCAGTGACTATTATGTGCACTATCTATCCGACGTCAGCCGTGTCAAGGTCTTCCTTATGACCAGCTTTGGCATTGCAATCCCTACCTCCATCGGTATGGTTGCTGGCTGTGTAGTCGCATCTGCCCTGAATAACAAGCCCGCCTGGGAGAGTGCCTACGAGGATCAAGGCCTTGGTTATCTTATCCAAGACATGCTTCATCCACGAGGATTTGCAAAGTTCCTTCTGACTCTCCTCGTCCTGTCCGGTATCAACACCAATGTTATCAGTATTTACAGTTCTGCCATTTCTTTCCAGCAGCTTGCCCGACCCTGGGCACGGATCCCTCGATTCATCTGGACATTCTTCTGCTTCCTCTGCATCATCGCATTGGCTCTCGGTGGTCGAGAGAAGCTGAATGCTTACCTGCAGAACTTCCTAAGCTTGTTGGGCTATTGGTGCACGAGTTATGCCATCATTTTGTTCCAGGAGCACTTCATATTCCGCAAAGGCAAATTTGAGAACTACGACCTAGAAGGCTGGAATGATCCAGATAGACTTCCCTTGGGCATTGGTGCATCCGTGGCATTTGGACTCGGTATTGTAGCATGGTGCATGGGAATGTCCGAGACTTGGTTTGTTGGTCCTCTTGCGAAGATCATCGGAGATTCTGGTGGTGATGTCGCAAACGAATTCACATTTGTAGTGACCGCCGTTACTTATTTCCCAGCTAGATATTTGGAGCTCAAGTATTTTGGCCGTTAGAGCCCAGCGCTGTACATCAATGAGCCTCGGTAGATTTCTAGTACTGGAATAGACTTACTGTAGAGTCCCAGACACATACAGAACATTTCCGTATTTCACAATTATGAAGCAAAGCAGTGATGAATCGCGATATTAATATTTTCCTGTATTTGGTCTAGTGCTGCTCTCGAGCAGTTCTCATGTACAGTGTGTCCCCCTTGAACTCTGATTCTTTGTTTGGATGGTTCG